CTTAAGCAGATAGCCCTTGAGGCTTTGCCGTAATCACATAAAACCAAATCAATCTGGAAGCCATTACGTGAAAAAAAATGTTTCTGCAATGTTATACGAAAACATTTTTATGCATCCTGTGTAATCTAAAATTAGTCCAACAAAATGTATTCTGTATTTATCTTTACTTTTTGTATTTATTCTGTATTTAATGAAACATTCTTTTCTTTAAGCTTTCAGTATAGTTAGATTTGCCGCCATCTAGTTAGATTTCGCGCCAACGTTTGTATTTAGATTCGAATTTCGTCTGTTAACAGAAAAGTACCCCTTTTCATACGTCTCAAATGCAATTAAAATCAAGCCCATGAAGCATTTTACAAAAAAGATTTTAATATATCTTGAAACATCAATCTAAAATACTCATTAATTAGCGCAATTTTTGAAACCATTCTCATTAACTTACTGCAGTACAACTGGAAAAGGCCTGGATATGCTATAAGCGAATGACAAACCCAGAATTTACAAAATCTTTCACAAATAAATATATTAGGTAAATCATTAACCCAATAATTTGTAGTTTTAAAAACATTTACAGAAATTCATTTTAATAAAAGGAATTTAAATACATTTCACGCAGCTTCATTCTTTAATATTTAGCAGAATTAAAACTGGTTTTATAATCATTTCATGGCAATTAACAGAAAATTTTAGAGCGTATATATTGTTTGAAATTTTTAACCCGTAACTATTTTATATCTTTTTCTTCGCGCAATCCTCCATTTCATATGGACAGTCAAAATTTCTCGTGTTTAAAATATTCACAGTAAAATCCAAATTTGTTTAATTACTTTAGTTCGTTTAAGAAAGTATCCTCAAAGGCTTGTGCAAGTGATACACTGTATTAGCATTTTGATGCACTGATCAACTAGACTTTGAAAATACGAGTCTGTAACCGCCTTATAAGAGTTTAATCATATGCGTAAAGTAGCATCAATAAAGAGCTTTTTAACAGTCTTCCATTTTGCTCTTCATTATTGAAATAACTCACTTTAGATAATTTTCTTACACTTCGAAAATTCATAACGCAGTCTAAATAAGCTGATAACGAAAGAACATTTTTCGCTGTAGATATCAAGTTGGTGTATACATATCTCTTGCGAAAAATGCTTAGCGCATGTTGCTCTATAACAGGACATATCATTTATTAATTTTAGCTTTTCTGAATTATGCGCACCTTGCAGGATTTAAAGAACTTCTCAGATAACCGTTTAATATATCATTTGTTATCAATTTATGAAACGTTCAAAACCTAAATTTCCTTTTTAATCAGAAGCATATGAACCTATGGATAGTATCACGGAAACTCATTTCAAAATTGACCAAAGCACGACTTCAAAAGCCAAATTCCATATTTTGGTCCATTGTTATTGTTCAAATTTTAAGAAAAGAATATACGCGACCATTTTAAATCCCAGGATTGCATTTCGAGTCTTCACAATTTCAAAAGGAAATGAGATATGTTCAAGAATAAAAATGCCTTCTTCAGGGACTTTACCAAGAGAAACTAGCTTGTTTTATATTATATAATTATTAAGTTTTTCTTGCTTTTTCGTTCAAATAATCTAATCACAGGAAAAAACCCGGAACGAACAACAGCCCTTCTCTACAAATTAATCAGTGACGCATTAGTTTAAAGAATAATTTCAAAGAGGAAAAATTCTTATCGTTAGTTAACTCTATAGTTAAAGCATTGAGGTGTTTCTTTCGGGAAACTAGACCAACCAGAAACCAAGGATTTGAAGCTGGAAAGCGCAGCAATTTAGTCCAGATTTGAATGTCTAGGAAACCATCTACGTGATGGCTTCGAGTAAAATAAATGGCAGCCAGATTTTCTTCAGAACTCCATCTCCTAGAAACAGGCACACTTTGTGTTGCTTGAACGAAAACAACTTCCACCTGAAGAATAAATAGTTCAGCTATTTGTAAATATGGTATTTACTTTCTGTATTGGCTGAAATGTTCTTGCCGATAAGTTCTGAAGCCAAGAGTTCTTTTGGTAACAAGATCTAGCAACATTTCAGCAATTCTTATCCGTTTTCTATTTCATACGTAAAATTTTCTCACCGGCAATTATTTTCATTTCTTTTGATGTTTCAAAGTATCAGTTTTCTCACGACTCTTTTCAACCTTCAGCTAAGCATTTCTCCCGATTCTTTTCAACCTTAGCAGCTAAGCATTTCTCACGACTCTTTTCAACCTTAGCAGCTAAGCATTTCTCACGACTCTTTTCAATCTTAGCAGCTAAGCATTTAATTGTCACAAAAAATTCCAATTTACAGAATCTCTCGCGGAGTTAGAAGTTATACACAAAATTTCTTAAAATCCTATTGGTGATATCTTGTCAAAAAATTACCTGGAAGATACGAAGAGAACAAATACCCTAAAATACATGCATTCAATCTTATCTTTAATGCTGTAACCGACATTTGTTCTAGCAATTTAGCAGACCCTCAGCTTATTAGTTTTGGTAACTTCTGAAATATAATTAGATCAATTAAAGCTAAGTTTCATAAAATCGAATCATTTAATTTTAAGCTTTTCAGCGTATACTTGAAGTAGAATTTACACTAAATTTGAATCAAAAACCAGTTATGAAACCTGAATATTTCACATTAACTTAAAAAGTAGAAATTAAGTGAAATATTTCAGCGGAATGTTCCCCCCTAGAACAGAATTTTTGCAACCACATGAAGTTATCAAATAAAACTTTTAACGAAACTCTTGAAAGTTTAATAGGTGGGTAGTGAGTTTTCTTTAAATTTTGTTTCTCAATTTAATAACGCATTTACATGTCATTTGTTTAGGCCTTAATTATTCTAATTCCTAATGGGAGTAATCTACTTTAATGATTAGAGTTTTGCCCTCTGAAGGAAAGAGGGTCATAATTTCTCTAGTTTCTCCCGAAAGGCATTTTGCAGATAAATGCAGATTGGAGTTCGCTAGACAATTGCCGACTGGATATTGTGAAAGCATAATTTAGACTAATGAATTATTTGATTTATACGAAGTTCGGTTATTGGACTACGACAGAGCACATGAGGGCTATCTACTTAAATGGAAGGACTTCCTAAAGAAACAGGATCGTACTCTTGTTACGCAAGAAAAACCGCCAGAACCAAACATACAGACAGCCTGTTCGGCTGGGGTCGAAACTTGTCGAACTCCAGTATTCAGCGACATCAATTTACTCTGCCAATACTGCCGCTATACCAAGTCAGAATAATAATCATAATTCAAGTATCGAAAAATCCTTCGAGAACTCATTTGAAGTTTAAATACTCGTAGTAACTAAGCAATTTTCGCTTATGTTATAGGATAGACTACGAAAGCGCAATGCAACTAGCCCGTATAGCCACCCAAGAGTAATTGAAACCGAAATGCAATACAAGTATCTGGAGCATCTTTAACCCCTTGTCATTAACAGACTCAAACAAAAATAGTTTTACCTCAACAGTCTGACAAAGCAAATACAAAGGGTAACTAAATATTCAGAAACGCATTTATCACCAACCCATACAAAGAACCAAAAGAAAATGATAGCCACCAAAGTGCAGCCTATATTCAGAAAGCTTATTAAATGCCAAGTTTCCTTGAAAAGGCGACTAGTATTTCGATCCAGGTTCATGTACCGACTATGGGCCTTTTCGTGTGGTTTGCTCTATTTGTAATGAGAAAATGGGTCAATTTTACTAAAAGTTATTTCCGAAGGCACTGCTTTAGGAACGTTTGCCTAGAAAGTTCTTTCTGTAATTCAATTTTCTAGAAATGCTCTAAACCAATTAACTTTATTTAAAGGTCACAATCTTCATCTGAAATACAGCTGCATGTTTGATTGCACCATGTTATGGCAAAGATCATCGAGACTGCAAAAGTCTTGAAGCTGAGGAATACACAATAAAACCAACCACACTGAGCGATTTCATGTATTTACTGGAAACTCACCAATCCATACAAAATACTCAAGGAAATACTTTAAATTGTGCTAAACTAATTTACCGTTTTAAGTAATTGCTTCTTCCACAGCATTAAGAACCACATCTAGCCGATCTCTCGGCCGAACTACCATTATGGAGTAAACGCCCCTTGCTGCATGTTTAGTTTCATTTCATCTAGTAAGATGGACAGACATCAGTTTTATTTGAAACAAGCTATCAAACTTTCACTATTCCCTTGTACATTGTTGAATAACATCTTTATTTGAAATATAAAACCATATTGTATCTGTTTAGCGCCAATACACTCTAGCAAAACGAAACTGAAATGTGTTTAATGCTTAAACATACTATTTTCGTAACCTCTTTGCGAAATGAAGATTCAAATGTCGAAGAAAATTTACTTCACGGAATATTTGTAGACTAGTTTCAGTTAAGATGTACATGCAAAGATTTAGATAAAGTACCAAATTCCTTTCTCTGTGAAGCTTTAGTTTAGATTCAAGTATTCCGAATTTTAATAAGTGCACTAAATATATTTAATAAACACAGGAAAAGTAGTTCTTGTGCAGAAAATCTAACCAGAGATAAAATTTGCTTCCATTTGTGTCTTACATGTGAAATGTAGCAATTAATCCTTGTAAGCAACTTTAGGATGTTTAATCATTACAACTGAAGTTTCAAGCACAGAAACACAATCTGATGTTAAAGTCAATTGTATCGTTTGTTATTTGAAGTGTTAAAGAAGTTTGAAGTTTACAATCTGTTTTTAATGCGCAAGAGTTAACGCAACTTATTTCAGACTTGTCTAGTTTAACCTTTCTAAGCATTTTGAAAAGCGAAGATTTTCGCATGAATGAAGCAATTTTATCAGAGTTTAACAGCTGTTGAATTCTGAGAAATGCCGCGAGAATTGAGCACCAATATATTTATACGAAGATATGCTTATCATTTTAAGATTACCATTTTAGAAAATTTCTTGGAAGTTGTAGATGGGTTGTACATCAACACAATTAAAAACAAACTATATGCGTTCAAAGAGATTTATTTAAATTTTCGATAACTTAACATTTTTATAACAAAAACAAATAACATCGTTTAACAATTTAAGACGTGGCTCTCTGAACAAGTTCCTGGACTTTCTTGCCTTCTTTGGTGCCTCTAATATTACCTAACCAAGGATATTTCGCAGGACATTTTCCACATAGCTGCAAATAACGGACATCCTCTCGAACTCCATCTTCCAGCTTCAAACGGCAAGTTCGAGGAATATTACAGCCTGGCATTCGGACTCTAGGACATTTCCAGGCTTCGAAGCTTTTGGCGTGCTCCAATGGCACAGGGTTTCGGATCCAGTCGAGAGCTTGCTGCATAGTTACGAACCAAACATCCGGGTAGTTTTCTAGCACATGATCTATGAACACATCCAAAGCTGTTACCTTTTCCTCTTTGGTGACCCAGTTCACGTGGAAGTTTAGGACGAAAGGGGCTCTATTGGTTTCGTAATGTCTGTAAAAGTTATAGCTTAAGAAATCAAATATTACCTCCGCATCCTCCGGAAAAATACAGTTGTCCAAATAAACACAAGATGATGTTGTACCATCGGAAGCAGTATACGTGTTCAAAGGAAACTCCCATATACCAGGAAACGAACGAGTGGGACAGTTCTCTGAAAGACATTTATGAGGATGACGGTAGTCCAAGGTGTAAGGCCATAATGGAACTTCGGATTCGGGGGCTGCGAGCGATGAATCGTAGTCCAGGCCATATTCGTAAATCATAGAAAACATGTTATTGCCACCAGGTTTCATGAAAGGTGCTCTCATGCCAAGGAGATCGCCATCGGAAACATTGGCTAAATTATGCAGAATATCTCTCATGCCAATCACTTCTTCAACCCAGTCGTTATAACTCGCTTGGGGCCAAAATTCTTCTGGTTGACGATTACTAGAAAGGAAATTACGAATTTAAGAAACTAAATTTAATTGGAGGGAACTGGTGTGTCAAAAGTTTAGTTTTTGAAATACACAGCAAAGTGATTTCTAGACTAAAAGGAATACTTTTGAGAATTGGTACTGATCGAAAGAATAATATAGCTAAACAGTAGTAAATTTAAGTGCAGTATAGTTCACTTTCAAACCGTTTAGAGGTAGAAATATGTTAAATATTGCAAGACTAGTTTACGAGAATAGCTCTGAAGACTTTATGAAAATGGAGCGAATAATATACATCAGGAAATCAAGACTTATTGAAAGAAGTTTACATAGTTCTTAAATCAAGGTTTTTAGCTTAGCATTTTACGACTAATTATTTTATGAGTTTAAACGCAAACTGCAAATTTACATCTTGATAGTGAAATGAAAGGTTGAAAGAATTGCTGCTGAAAGTATCTTACCTGATAGTCTGCATAGCTATCTCGTGTCCTTGGCCATAAAGTTTTTGGACGTAGTAATAGCTGGTATATTCATGAGGAACAAAGAAAGTTCCTCTAATGGGACACCCATTTGGATTGAGCCTAGTCTCATTTAAGAGGTAACCGAAGGGTTCTGCATTCAAGATATTCAAAGCACCACTGAAAGCTAAAATAATCATTTGAGGTGTGTCTTGAGGACGCAGATTGCCGGGAATGAGGGTACCATCTTCACTACAAAAGCAATCTGGAAGACGACAGTTCCTCGAGTCACAGCTTGGAACAGCTTCAGGATCTACAGTGGTAGGTTCAGTAGTAGCTGAAAGAAATTAAAATAAGGTTAAGAAACGAGCAAGTTTGAAATTGTTTAGCTTTTGAAATAGAGAAAGATTCACTGAACGAGGTATTACCTAACAAACTAGGCCGAGATGAAACGACAGTCGAACTAGAAGTTTACAAGGATCAACAATTACTTGATCCTTTGGCGATTACTAAATTAAGCAATTTTTTCCCCAAACACCTGCGATTACCCGTCAGTTGTAAATCTAATGCGATCCGTGTTCATTTGCGCTCAATGAATGCGAGCTGATCTCATTAGTGAACATAACAAATTCAGATTTAGTTTCATTGTGCATGTAAAAACTTTGCATGGCCTGGGAGTTAATTGGTAGCCTTACGATTGTAGAAGATTACAATTGGCATGAACGGTCGGTAATATGCAAATGCATTGTTAAAATTTCTTTCAGCACTATATGAAATTAGAAAAATCGCATTCAAAATAGAAAATTGAAGCATTTTCATGTGATGAATACGGAAATTCCGTTAAAATCTCTTTAAGTAAAAAACGTTTAAGATTATCACAGGCTCAAGTTTAAGATTTTCACAGGGTATTTTACAGCTTTCAAGCAATTTAGCTTATAAAAAGACAATGAAGTGCGTTTAGATGAAAATTAAAACAAAGTTAACATGGTAAACTAATTACCGCCAACCGAGTGATAAGGATTACTAGGAAAATTTAAACTATACGAGTTCTGCACACCCTCGAGTGTTCAGAATCTAATAAGCAACAGCGTTCAGCTTTACTCAAGTTTACTTTTGAAAGCTCATCGAAAAGTTTTGAAAGTTTAACAAATGCATACTGGACATTAAATATGTAAGAAATCTTCATAAAAAACTTCACAATACTTACTGACAGCAACAGGTCCGCACTGCAGATCTTTCGTTTTGTATGTGCAGATCTTTCTCGCATCGTCGAAATACAGGGGATTGGGGCAAGGAGTGTCGTAAGGAACGAAGCCGTTACAAGTGTAGAATCTGCGGCAGTTGTGAGGATTGGCAAAGATTCCATATTCCATGGGGCACTGGAATACATGCTTCTTACGAAACCTGTCACTTCCTTTGATAAGAGGGAAGAAGTCGATTAGCTTACCCAAGCATACTAGACTTTTTTTTTCTCCACAGAAATTTCACAAAGACAGTTTATACAACGGTATAGAAATTTTCCATTAGAGTTTCTGCACCAATATACTTAAAGACAAGCCACTTATACCAATAAATATCCCATATGTGTATACTAGCTTAGGAGAATATCTTAGCATATTTAGTAAATGTGTTTATATCTAGTCCTCCACACGGGCATATAAACTTAAGCAGAAGTCGAGTCAGTTGAATTTCTGACTAGTAAAGGCATACGTTTCACAGGTTTTCTTACATCAATACAACTTCCAAATGCATATTTTCTATTGAAATTACAGCGATTCAGATTTATCAATTGTTAAGAACAAGGATTTGGTCATAGTTAAGGTTTTCAGAAGACAAAACTCTGCTCAAAAGTTTCAGGTATCGAAGAAGAATAAGGACATGATCGCATAAAGTCAGAAAGCGAATGTTTGCTCAGAAATTTAGCATCTCTCAAATTGCATTGATAGGATGTTTTGGAAGTATTTTAAGTAGGTGTTCAAGGCTACATAAACATCGTATTTAATTCGGAGACGACCTAATATTATTTTAGCAGCTTTATCTAAGAATTATCGACGATTTCAAGGGCAAGATTATCACATTTATACGTAAAGCACAGAAAATGAAGTGCAATTCTTTGGTGAATTTAAGCCCAAGTTTCTACAATGCATAAAAGTACTTGAAGATCAATGTAACGACGGAGTACTCCTAATTATAGGAATGGTAAGGTTATGGCAAAGCTTACGACTGACATCTAACTAAATGGAGAAGTGCTACAATGTAGATTGTGATAAAGTAAACTGGGATTACCTGTCTAAAGGGAAGGATATCGTCGTGGAAGGCGTTTTAAGCGAAACGAGCTCTCGTTCACCTTCAAAAACGAGAAAAGGGCAAAAGAGACGATATCAACTCACTCTGTTGGGATTTGAACTAGGGTTGAATTAAGTGTTCATTGATTTTATCGTTCAGCTGCTGGTGGGCTACTTATTACAGAAAAACTGACGTCAATTCTCAGTAGGATTATCACTAGACAACGGAAGTACAGCAAATTATAGATCAAGACTTAACTCGGCAATGTGATAAAATTTTAGTCAGTTTCCAATAATAGACTGAACAGCTTGTAATCTTACAGAGACATTAATTAAAACACATTTTAAAGAGTATAGAACTAAGTTCATTTATAGGGAATCTTATTTCGAAAATATTTCCTAAATAAAGAAAGTCAGCTGCAAATTTGAATTTAACGGTTGAGAAAGAGAATGCTTATTTTTCCCTCAAGTTTTAAAGGAATTTCTGTTTACGCTGCATTAGACCAACAATACGAGATAATCTAAAATATTATTCATGAATAAAAAAATTTGTGACCAAGCTAAGCAAGTAATAAAATACACAAGAATAAGTAAAATGCGGAAACTTGCATAAGTAGGATAAAATTCAGAAATTGCATTTTAAAATATAAATACGTTCTAATGCAAAGGAATATTTCAAAACTTACAAATGAAATTAAATCCAAGTTCATTGACACTAAATTTAGTAAATAAAAAAACCAAAATTTTCCGAACAAGTTACAAATAGTACTCACCAGCAGCATCCACAAGAAACGCCCCACAAAGAGCCAGAAGTACACCAAATATTCCAGAAATCATTGCACAGAAAATAAGATTTAAACTAAAGAATCGCTTTGAATACTAGCTTTTTATACTCCGTAGAACGTCAGAAGCTTTCAGGTTGAGAGCTTCACCAAATTTCAGTTATATGCAAAGCAGACGTAACACAGGCTACATCTTCTTTTAATACTAGCCTGATAAGGATCCATTAGAAGTACAAATTCATGTAAAATAGAAATATATAAAAAAATTTTAATAAGCTTTCATTAAAAACTCATAAAATCATCAATGAACTAAAAGGAGAAAAATAATTTATCACAGGGTTTAATGGAAAAAAGACATTAAATATTTCTCTTTGCAAAATTCATCTACAATTTTATATTGAAAATAATAAAAGCGTGGAGCGACTTTGATAAATGTATAAAGGTAATCGCTTATATTTGCTTATATTTTTGACAATGTAGTTTGAATAATGGATTTCGTTATTTGGAAGTTCACGCTTTTATTTTTCGTGATATAAAATTTTACACGAACTTTGTGAAGAGAATTATTTAACGTCTTCTTCACAGGAAACTATACGATATAATTTATTTACTAAAGAAAGATTGATTATATAACTCGATTTCGCACTGATGAGTAGAATAACTTGATTTCGCACTAAGTGAATTTAAGATCATACAACATACACTGGTGTGCAAAAATTAAGGACGAAGTCGAAAAATTAGCATATCAGCTGAACGAAGAGGCAGAGCGGACAGAAAGACCATTCAGGAGATTAAGTAAGGTGATGTACGGTAACACATGCGCAGATATGCAGGTAGACGTAATGGGGGAGTGTCTGAGTAGTATAAAGCATGTTGTCGGTGTAAGATCAGTATTTCTGGCAAAGAGATTGCACGCCGTATAGCAGTTAAAATCACACCGAGTTGCTGCCTCAGCGAGAAATGGCGAATAATCAATCTGTTAGACGACATCTGGATGCTTTTACCCGAGGTCGAATCATTGGGAAGTTGGAGGAAGGCCGCAGTGTGACAAGTGTGGCTGCAGAGTTCGGAATTGCTCACAGCATCGTTTCACGACTTTGGAGACAATTTCAAACTACAGGAACAGCTATCCGGGGGTTTAGTAGTGGTCGTCCACGAGGAACCACACCCGCAGATGACCGGTATATTGCCTTACAGGCCAGAAGAAACAGGCGGCAGACAGCGGGAGAAATCGCTAGACACACGACACAGGCGACTGGACGACCGATATCGCGTTTTACCGTGGCCAGAAGACTGCACGGTGGTAGTCTGTTTGCACGACGCCCTGTACGGTGTGTACCTCTAACGCCTGCCCATCGGAGAAGGCGTTCTCTGTGGTGCCGGGAACACCGGAATTGGAGAGACAATGAATGGGGACGAGTACTCTTTACAGATGAGAGCAGATTCAGTCTGAGTAGCGATTCTCATCGCATACTCATCTGGAGAGAGCGGGGAAGCCGCAATCATCCCTCGAACATCATTGAAAGGGACAGGTATGGAGGTGGCGGTTTGGGGAGGCATCATGCTTGGTAGTCTTACAGACCTTCACATCTTCGACGCAGGTTCAGTCAACGGGACCCGTTATTGTAACGAGATTCTTCTTCCATATGTGCGTCTTTTTAGAGGCGCTATGGGTCCGCAGTTCCTTTTCATGGACGACAATGCACCATGTCATCGCACAGTAGCTACCGAACAGCTCTTAGAGAGTGAGGATATTGAACGTATGGATTGGCCGGCACGATCTCCGGATCTCAATCCCATCGAGCATGTATGGGATTTTCTAGGCAGACGCTTGGCAGCTCGTACCTTACCACCAGTAACGATTCCGGAGCTTCGATTGGCGCTGCAAGACGAATGGGCAGCAATGCCTCAACAACTCATGGATACCCTCATTCTCAGCATGGGCAGACGCTGTGAAACCTGCCTAGCAGACAGGGGAGATCATATCCCCTATTAAAGACTGGATGTTTCTTGCTGGACACCCATCACAGGGATGTTTCGGCCTTCAGTCGCATTGCGCTCCATGCTCCACGAGTCCCGGCTAGGGCATTGCTTATTTTTCACATCTCTCAGCATCGAAATAACCTAATGTATCTACAGATTGATATAGTGATTATCATTGTTGGCTGTCATATCATTGTTCCAGGCGTCGAACCCCGAACGAAGAAGATTCAGATACTTGTAAGTGCAAAGTATTTGTGTGACATGGATGCACTTAAAATACCGGTGAGCCTGAAATTCCTTCGAAAGGTTTGCTGATAGGAGAAGAGAGGTAGAGGATCGCCGGATCCGCTTCCCGGGATGCCCTACGTCAAAAATGGGACTAAACGTTCTCGCATATGAGAAATCTGTCGTTCCCTGTGGTGCACCTTGGGCAAAGCTTTCGGAGTGAGACAGGTAAATGATCGACGTATCGACATTTCTGATGAATGCATTATTTGAGAGTGCTCGGTCATTTGAAGCAACAATAAATAAATATATTTTAATGAACTTAGGTAATTATAATCAAATTAATATTCTTATAATTAACGTAGTGTGGCTACATACGAAAAGCATCGAGCCTTAAGTCGGTGTTTTCGGAGTTTTAGACAAATATGATACATTCTGACATTTAATTGTTAAGAAATAGGTTCAAAATATCAGCTCAAAATTTTATTATTTATCATTCCTTTTAATAATTAAAGTAAGTCTTTGGAATCGGCGCTAATCACAAAACATACACCCAAAATGAAATATATATATGACTTAGCAACACATTGGCAGACCTCAGAATTTTTACATTTCTTTTTTTTTCGTTCGTATATAATAGATAACACAATAAATATAATAGATTACACAAATGTAACAGATTTCTTATAAAAATTTCGGATTTTCTGTTGCACTCGATCGCGTTTAAAGGAGCAAATTTAGCAAGTTAATAACAAATATCAGCTGTATTCTATAAAATATGAATGATTGCTTTACAGATTTTTAATTATTATTTTATTTATTGGTCCTGAAGTACAATGATTCGTGGATTTTTAAATTTAGAAATTAAGCTCTATTGCAAGCAACATATTAAAAAGCTCCCACTTGCAATGGTGTTTTATAACACTCTAAAGCGTTCACATCATTTCTAAGACTTTTCTCTTAGTAAAGTGATATACTTTAGTCTGTATTTTCTTTGAATTGCCATCTTGAGTAATATTCTGCTACACTTCTAAAATGAATATTACTTCTGCCCACTTGCGATCAATAGAATGACATATTTTGTATTGGGTACTCTTTGCAGTTATTTTTATAGAAATTGGCAAATAATGTATGAGTACTCTAAATATAGAAACTCAAATATTTGGCAAGAATTGTCCAAATACTTGAAAATTCAGATATGATTACTCTTTATTCCAAATACATACAGGTGATAGCTGAGTAATAAATTGCCTTTTCATTAGAACTTCGAAACATATGTAAAAAACTCTGAATATTTCAGAAATTTTTTATTGTGTAGAGACCTTAGGATTTTAAAGGAAGCAGGCAAGATGAAAAAATAGCAATCGCCTTCTCCGGGAATCGAACCACGGACCTCTGGATTACCAGCCCAGTGTGCAGAACCACTACACCACGAAGGCACGCTAGGAAGACGAGAGAAATATCTTATAAATGGTTATTAACTCAACCTGCCGTTTACGAGAAATAAACTATCAACAAAATAAAAATATATACTACTAAGTCTTGTAAAACAGTCTTCAAGAAAACCGTTATTAAATTTAAAAATAGAAAATGTCAGAGTACTATAAAACTACAGTTGGAAACTGTGGATATCAAGAGTTTTAAACTTAGGTAAACAGGAGATTAATTTGAAAAATAATAGTTTATGATATTTTGATAAATGAGATAATCAATACAGATTTCTTTGCTTCAGGAGCAAAAATATTCGATGAAAAAACACTACTAATTCTGTGTCGAATATTTTGCTTTCTAAGGCTGGTAACAAAGTTTCTCGAAATGCATCCATAGCATTTCTCTGAAATTAACGCCAGCATAAGCATGGATTTAACTTGATTTTAATGTCATTTCGCATCATTTGAGTTACCAATTTTTTTTTTTTTCCATCTTTTAATGCTCTTTCATTTCAATTCATGCAAATCTCCTACTTTTAGATTTTTGCAGCTCGCTGAAAGCTTTAGAAGCGTTTAATTTATAAATTTAGAAGTGCCGCAGCCCTGTGGAAAGTCTTCAGGAGAGGTACACAAAAATAAAATTAAAAAAAAAATAATTAAAGCTTTCATATTTTATATTACGTCCAAAGGGGCTTTTTTAACGTTTTGTGTGTTACCTTTATTTATTTCGAATTATCATGTTCTTGGCTCTTAAACCATAAAATTGAATTCAACATCAATATTGCAAAATATTTAAAAAAGCATATCTCTAGTATTTCCGATACACAATCTCGCGCGCTGGAGATAAAAATGAATTTTTTTCTTCCTTTCAGTGTTGCCATTGCTCGCTTTGAAATTGTTGAGTTCCTTAATCAAAAACTCATGAATGCTTTACAAAATAGGAAATAGATAATAAAACAAATTCCAGAACCCAAATTTGGGCTTTCAGATGCCCATATTCGGATGGAGACGTACGTTATTCAAAATCTTATGGCTGTAGGTACCGCTGTTTTAACACAATACGAGAAAGATATATACATTCATGCAGATTATCCATTATTTAATTTCTTTAAATTTAAGGCCTCTAATATTTGTCGGCAAGAATTTAAAAAGTGATTCGCCGTTCATAGTGAATCAACGCAAAACGCCAAAACGAAATTAACAGCCAGTCTGGGCTAACGCCCTTCGGGATAAAAAATTAATAATTAAAATAATAAAATAATTGTAATTTAAAATCAATAAAATGTAAAGACGTACATAAAAATTAATAAATAAAATCGAATGAATGATAAATAGTTGACGAACAAGAACGAACAAAAAAAAAAAAAAAAAAAAAAACCTGGATCTTGTCTTCTATTTGGAGCTGGAATTAAAACTTTACTAAAAAATTGATAAACAGCCGAGCCATGTTCCAGCTGAATTTCATCTGCATGTATAGTATAATGTACTATTTCACGGGATGATAAAAAC